CAAAATGTGAAAATAAAACAAACCTAATCCAAACCCTTTGTCTTTCACAAAGGTGTGAAATTATACCCAGTACAGTGACAGGAAATCTCTCTCTGCTTGAACGCACACAATACACAGGAATCTCAGCAGTTGCTAGGGAGACGAAGATTAGTCCGTGCAGCTACATGTACACTGTGTCTACATGTACTAGATCTACCGAGGACAAAAAAGTTTACTAATCAATGCAAAGTACACATAAAATGTTTTTCAGACATTGTTTGTGGTGGAGTTTATGAATTTCTTTTTCAGTCAATTCTTGTTTACACGACGTAAAAACATTTAGACCTAGAATTAATTTAGAAAGGAATGAGACTTCACAGACGACTCGGAAAATGCTGATTAAATAAAAATCTTCTGCGTATTTTAATATTATATTTGAAGATTAATAATTTTAAAACATCTTCATTTATAGCGCCAATGAAAGTGACACTGCGATAGATCGTTTCTTTAATCAATCCACTATTAAAATAATTAAATAGCTAAAATTTACAAAACACACTACGAAAATATAAATTAATATCGAATATCATGAATAGCACACTGGGTGTTTTATCTTGCATTGTCGTATAGATATATTATATACAGTAATTTATATCGAAATTTGTGGCTCTCGTGAGACGTTTGTCACTCGTGAGACAGGATTTTTTGATATTTTCACTCGTGCTTCGCACTCGTGAAAATATCAAAAATCCTGTCCACTCGTGAAATAAATTCCATATTCAACTACAAAACATTGAATATCCTCTATGTATCTTCTGCAGTCTGGCATCTAAACGTGAATAATGCAAACGAAAGAGCACAAACTATACAAGATACCCCACACGTCATACATAACACAACTTTTGCAATGCATATCTTTTTACTACAAAACTCCTCGGGTGTTTTGGTTGGGTGGTGAAAACAACAAACCCATCTGAACTATTAGCCAGGATTTCGGAGGAACCATTTTCTTTGCCTAATCGAAGATTCACTCTTACATGACCCCAAATAGGATGTTGTTAGATGTTTGAAAAGCAGTAGCGGATTCGGAACATCTAATTTTAATTAGATTGCATCCATCTGTGACATCAGTTTGGAATGTTATTGGTTTTACTATTGAGTAAAGTATTACAAAAACAGAATGTCTGGGTTTTTCTTCTCTGATGACATTGGACAAAGATATGCATACTTAAATATCATCATTTTATGCACTTTTTCGGTACATATTAAATGAAAGCATGCTAACCGCTTTTCAGTACTTTCAGTACTTTGATTTATCCTGCCTTTTGGCGTGATTTCTTTATGCAGCATTGTCATTTTTCGGCGCTGATTTTCAACAAAACCACGATCAGTATGGAAAATGTGCAAAGTACCTCGAAAAATAGTCATCTTAAAGATATCAATTTGAAAATTTCAACTAAATAGTTTCAAAGAAAGCTGGATTATTTTAATTTGTAAATACAAGTACCTATGATGAAAGGATACACTTTTAACATCATATAATTTATGAATGAAGTCCCATTTAAAACATCGACTTTAAAACTTTAAGATAATGAATATAAAGAATATGTACCCTTAACATGAGATATCAAATACATATTAGGGCTATGACTCGTATTAAAGGTCGATAATGGTCATTTTATTGCAAAAAGAATGTGACCTTAATTTGTGCGAAAAACCATGAGAGCTTAGAAAGTGCGTTGAATTGTATCCTAAAATATCTTTTAAAAAACTTCTCGAGAACAGCAAAGCCATGACTTGTGATATCTTATGGGACTAATGGAAGCATCCTCAGTTGGTTTAGATTCAGATTTGTTCAAGTCATGACCTCTTGAGTAGGGTGTGGCTACAATGAGGGATCAAAGTTTTACATAAGAAGATATAGAAAAAATCTTCTCAAGAACAGCAAAGCTATGTTTAGTAATATAGACCTGTATATAAGCATCATAATGTAATGAAGATTCAAATTTCTTCAAATCATATCCCCTAGCTGGGGATGTTGGGTAGTGAGGGGCCATAATTAGGAATCAATGTATACAAATTCATATGTAGGAAAAAATCTTTAAAAATTCTTTTTTAAGGACAGCAAAGTAATATGCTATATATGGAGGTATCGTCAAGTAGTATAAAATTCAAGGATATTCATCCAGTAAAAATATTCTTATCACTTAAATTCTTCGTGGCACCTGATCCCACCTCTGATGTTTTGGATGTCCGTGTTTGCTCTGCTCCTTTTAATATTGTTTTATGGACTTTAACGCTAAAACACTGTTCTTGTCTCCATATATTTCATTAAAATTATTCCATTTATATTTTTATTGCATACTTGGTAATAAATACAAGATTTTTGCACATGCGATATGGCTGACGTCACAATAGCCGTATCAATAGGGTATGTATTATTCTCTATATAAAGCGAGTTATACATCATTGCTGCCCCAGACATTTAAACATTCCTGAGTTAAAGATCGCCGATTCCCCCTCTTAATGAGTTAAGAAAACATAAAGGTAACATGTAAATATATCATGTGTTAGAATCAATCACGTGTTAGTATATTTATGTTCCCCAAACGAAGTTGGGGAACATATTGTTTTTACTCTGTTTCTTATTATTATTTTTCTTCTTCTTCCTGGGTACTTTTTTGTCCGCGAGTGATCTTGTAAACTGTTCACCCAAAGTAGGTAAAACCTTTTTAGGGTTGGTAGACATGTTATGTAGATTTGCGGAATCAAGGTCATTTTGCGCGCACGTGCTTGCAAGAGCGGGCACGTGCAACACGTGAAATGACTAATATAATGTATACTGCCGTAACTTTTCTATTTTCTTATGAAATGTTTTGAAACTCATAATGTAAGCATATATTAGTAGTACATGTATAAACAAGATGACATGGTTTTTATAGCAAGATCTCACGCGCATGCACGTGCGCTTCGCTCTGATTGGCTGAATCTAAAGTTTCAATATCTTTCTTGTTTTACGTCATAATCATTTGAAATTTTGAACTTAGTCACACATTATGAAGATCTACAGCATGATATATAAGAATTTTCATTAAAGCACGTACATGCACGTGTACTGGCAAGAGAGCGCACGTGCAACATGTGAAATTACCAATATAATGGATGAAGCGTTAACTTTTCTATTTCTTGATGGAATTTTTTGAAACTCACAATGCATGAATATATTAGTAGTATCAACAAGATGACATGGTCAAAAAAGCAAGATCTTACGCGCATGCACGTGCGCTTCGCTCTGATTGGCTAAAACTAAAGTCTGAATATCTTTCTTGTTTTACGTCATAATCCTTTGAAATTTCGAACATAGTCATACATTATGAAGATCTACAGCATGATATACAAGAATTATCATAAAATACTGCTATCAGAATTGAATGCAAAGACGTGCTTGCATGTATTTGCGCATGCGCAATGTGAAAAATGTACAATGTATTTGAAAAACGGTTACATTAATATTTTTATGACTTTTTATTGATTCTTGGAATATAGATATGTTAATCGTTTAGACAACATGCCATGATCACCTTGCATGTGCATGCACGTGCGTTTGCTTGCAATGCGTTAAATGACAAAGAGTTGATATTATTGTAGCTTTTAAAATTCTTTTATGAAATCCTGCGATAACTGAGCATATTAAAAACGTTTTAAAGGAAATTGGCACAAAAAGGGACTTGGGGAGCGTTTGGGGAACATCTGTAACGGTCCCCGTTACAATTAGAACTAGTTGTTCTTTGCCATAGTAGTTTCTTTTCAATGTGCGGCGGACATGGAAACGGGAAGGGTAGTAGACTTTATATTCTTACAAATTAATAATGAATCATCAACAGGTAAACGTAATGAGTGATCGTAATTAAATGAAATCGATTAAAGTTTGTCGTGTAATTCTAAGCTTTTTAGTAATCATTCGCTTTTCTTCTTTATTTAATCAAAATTTAATTAATTATCCAGAAAGGGCCTTATAAGCTAGGACATCCATTAAAAATTAATTATATTCGTTTTTTCTACCAACTGGCTGAAAATGTCTCGATTCAAAACGTTTGTCGTGTAATTTTGAGCTTTTTAGTAATCATTCGCTTTTCTTCTTTATTTAATCAAAATTTAATTAATGATCCAGAAAGGGCCTTATAAGCTAGGACATCCATTAAAAATTAATTATATTCGTTTTTTCGACCAACTGGCTGAAAATGCCTCGATTCAAAACGTGTTTAACCTCCATAAAACGATTTAGTTTTCTTTTTATTCTACGATTTTCTCATCAACAGGTTGTGTTGGAATTTCCTGGGGAATTCCCACATACCTACCGAACCAGTTCTTTAAAGCTGAGTCGAAATAGGGCAAATAAACATTATTTTAAAGATGGCCTAATCGAGATTATTTTTCAGCTTCACTGAATACTTATCTGTCTAGAAATTGTCTTCAGATACTCAGATACATTTAAAACCATGTCCATTTACCATGTCGTGAGCATGGCGGAAGTGCGCTCATGTTTTTTGGCAGCTGTTATATCTCTCTGATTGGGGGATATAAAGTCTATTTCGAAATTTTTTCACTCAGATCGAGACGCCACTACTTACCGGTGCAGAACTGTAAATTTAGACCTACATTCGGCAGTTATTGCAATTAAGTCTTCTTCATATGAATGAAAAATACTCGAGATGAACTTTTAACAACATATCTACAAATAAAAATGACCATTGAGCACTAAGGATTTTTTTTTGTGCCAGCTCCTTCGACAAAGGACCTCCGTTTACATGTATATACTAGTAAATCAAGTTGTTTTATTTAAAGTTCTCTATTTTCAGATGTAAATTGTTGTGAACACTGTTATTCTGCCTGCAATGGCCCTCGATACAGACCGAGCGCAGGTGATCATCCTATGTCATCTCTGTGATAAAAGACCCACCATCCTGTACTGTAATCCATGCAAGGTAAACTTATGTGAAGAATGCGTTGGAAAACACTCAATGACGTCATTATACTCTCCTCATGAGATTGTCAAATATGGAAACAGAAAATTGTACCTTTCATTTCCGAACTGCAAAATCCATACTGGTGAAATATGTACTGTTGAATGTCAGAATTGTAATGTTGAAGTTTGCATTAAATGTCTCAGCAGAGAACATAATGGCCATAGAATCATTGAAATTCACAATGTTGTTGAAGAAAAGAAACGTACAGTTGACAAGGACACAGTTTATCTTATAGAGACTATCATTCCAAAATTCGAAAAAGCAGATTCTGAAATAGTGTCAAAATTAGCGGCTTTAAATGCAAGATGTGATGAATTAGAAAAATCGGTCAAAGAGCGTGGAAAAGACTGGCACCGACTGATTGAGGACATGGTCGAAAAGAACAATAGAGATATTTCCGAAATGAGAGAAAGCGGCATCAGAACAATAAAAGAATACCAAAAGGAAATCAAAAAAGTTCTTAAAAGTCTTCATGAAATTACTCTGCAGAATAAAAAGATCTCTCAGTCGTTTAACGTCAGTGACATTACAAAATATGAATGCGATATTCAAAAATACCTGAAAATTCCTTTGAAAATTGAACTTGAGCTGCCAACGTTTGTCTTCAAGGATATAGACAAAGATAAGCTTGACCAAATATTTGGAGAACTTAGAAAAGCCAAGATCCAAACAGAGCTGATCCACAGGCCAGATTCTGACAAGCTTTTGGATAAAGCCTATGAAACTGGAACCTTTCCCACTGGAATAATACCATTACATAAGCTTGCCTGTCTGAGTGCAGAAGAGGTTTGGATAACCGGACAGAATAAAACCATCACTCGTTTCAACAAACATGGCTTTGCAACAGCGATGGTTACATCTACTTGTTCGGATTATCCTAGTGATATTTCAATTTCAAAAGATGGACATCTGCTTTATATTGATGCCGGAAATCATGTCGTTAATGACCTCCACCAGACTACGGCTAGGATCACAGCACCGCAGGGATGGTCTCCATCTGGTCTGTTTTCCACAAAATCAGGCGACTTGCTCGTCAGTATGTGTACATTTGATGAAGAACGCTACAAAATTGTCCGCTATGAAGGTAAAATAATAACGCAAGAAATAGAGAAAGATGAGCAAGGTAGTCCATTATTTAAAGGAGGACATAAAATGCTCTTTGTGACGGAGAACATCAACGGCGATATTTGTGCTTCTGATTGCAATGCCAATTTGGTCACAGTGGTGAACAAAAAAGGAACTCTTCGATACCGGTACAAAGGACAAGAAACAATGAAGGACAAATTTAGACCTGCTAACATTGTAACAGACTCAGCAGGTCGTGTTCTGGTGAAAGATACCGGAAATAAATGCCTCCATGTTCTTGATCAGGAATGTCGGTTTCTACGTAATCTAGACTTTTATGGAGCAATGAGTGTGGACACACTGGGACAACTTTGGGTTGGAGAGTTTAAGACTGGCATCGTAAAGATCATCAGATATGCAGAAAAATTGTAAATATATATATATATATATATATATATATATATATATATATATATATATATATATATATATATATATATATATATATATATATATATATATATATATATATATATATATATATACGCCAATTTTTTAGAAAATAAATTATTTTTACATTATTTCTTCAATAATTTTTATCCCAAAAGTACTCAGTAATTGTTTTTAGAGACTAGAGTCCCATGAGACACAACACTATTTTGAGTATTTTAATGGTAACCAAACAAGAAAACAATATGATAAGGTGATGACTTCAACTTCCAAAGGGCTTAATTATGGTGCGTTATACCCTTAGCACCTGTAAATAGTACTATTACGCAAACGCTGACTCGCTTATTGACGTTTTTCATACTTTTTGTTAGACCATTATTTGCACACTGAATTTCTCGATCATGAGAAGGAGCACACGGCGGATGTGACCGGTCGGCAGGGGATGCTCTCTCCTCCAAGGCACCTGATCCCACTTCTGATGTTTTAAAGATCACTGTTTGCTCTGCTCTTGTATTGTACTGTTTCATTGGACTTTTAAGGTTTTTTACTGTTCGTTTTCTCCATTTTTCATTCTCCTTTGGTTCTTGAGATTTTTTTCTCTTGTGTTTCTTTTTTACCTAAATATAGTCTTACGCAATATTTTTTTGATTGCAATTCGTAAATTGATTTGAACAATTTAAAATCTACAATATGATAACAGTACATATACTTGTACGTAAAATTTGAAAATACATGAACTTAATATTGACCAATCCAAAACTTCTTTTTTTAAAAATCAGGAACAGGGCAAAAACAGTGACCTATCTCAACAAATCTATGAACAATACAAACACATGAAGAGGGCAAAAACACGAACCCCTGGAAATTCCAGAGGTGGGTTCAAAAACTAATTTTACTTGACTTTGGGATGTTCGCATAACTATGTAAACATAACATATTGTTAAATTCTTTTTTTATTTTTTGATCCTTGTTTATTCTTATTCTTGCCGAAGGACCGTATATTAGATAAACAAAAATCCTTTTGTACTACCACTTTGCATGTTTGCATAAATACACGAGTAATTGTGGACTTTTTTAAGACGTGGAAATTTTGAAATACAGTATATATTTTCCATTTACTTCATCAATTATTATACCCCGGCTGGAATGTGGGAGTGTATATAGTGATCGAAATGTCCATTTGTCTGCACATCTGTTTGTCCATACGTCCATCCGTCCGTCTGTTACGCTTCGGGGTACCCATCCCCAATACGCAACTCCTCTACCACTGAATAACACCATAACATGAACACTGTCATTATCTCTATTATATTAAAGGAAGTTCAAGGAGTCCATCTCTTATCCGCAACTCCTCCTATACCACTAAATACAATGATACTTTCACGGATTCTTTATCACATGATGTCATTGTGCACCTCCATTTTACCTTATGGTTAGACTTATTTCGGGTCTTTCAGAGCAAAACGTGGACTTACCCATTATAATTATATGGGAGGCAGGGGTATCATTTAGTGATCTCAGTGCTCACAGTACCTCTAGTTCTGACTAAAACTTTTCACTTACGGACTTAGTTTGATTAATTCGCATGTGCTCTGCATTACCTTAATTTGTCATAGTTAAATGAATTTCAATACTGGCCTCACTTTTCATATAAATGTTACATCTCATTTTATGGTCCAACCTTGACCTATGTTCAGTCACATGATTAAGAAGTATATCTGATAATCCTTGGGCATTAATATGCTTTATATAGTCCCAGTGGTTCCTGCATATTTTATATGAAGTTTTCTCTTACATTCTCGTTTAAAACCTTTACCCTTGATAGTGTTGCATGCTATTACTTGGGGTCCTAATTTAAAAAGAAATGACTGTGCACTGCATGGACATACCTGTATATTTTAAAAATATTAATAATATGTAATTACTATTAGTGTTATATTTTACCTCCGAAAACAACATTTTCTTTTATCTCCCCTTGTGGACCATAATCAAAATTGAATCTACACATTGTTAAAAAGACAGCAAATAAATTTCAATTTTCTGTCCCAGTGGTTCTTGATAAAATCTATTTCATTCAATTATTGTACATTTTGTCAGATGTTTCTGTAAAATTCTATGAGTTCCATTGACGATTGAAATCTGAAATATGGTAAGAATGGATAAACAAGGTATAGAAGAATTCCGCCGTGTACAAGCGATGTATTCGTCAATGCTTCTGCTATATCCAACAAACCGAAAAATGAATCGGCAAACCATGATGTGATGTTAGAGCAAAGAAGAACCAAGAAACTGCCTTTAAGTAAGGAAGACGAAAACTCATCAGTACTGATCGTGGCTATCCGTCTTCCATATAGGAGAAAATTCGTCTGGTAAAAGATATCGAAAATGTTGACGAGAGTAACTAACGTCATGATGCCGAATGGATGAAATAAATAAACCACAGTAACAAAAGCTAGAACGGCTCCGGCACTCAACATAAGAGCTAAATCACTGAAGTTTACCGATGTATACTCTACACAGAGAGGAAGTTTTCTAAAGAGGTGGTGATGAATGATTAAAATGTGCATAAATACTAGAATTTTCTGCGAAAAAATTGTATATTTCGAGATCTCATCTGCGTAAATATTCTCCGGACAAGCCACCAAATAACTTGTTTGTATCACAATGGCAACGCTCAAGAATATGCTGAGGATAACTGAAGATTTCACAAAGATATCTTTAAGTCTGCAATAGTATAAGTCGTGAGATGAAGAGGATGAGTTTCGATATGAAACCATACCCCAATTCCAACTTTTCCCGTCTCGTAAGGCAAGAATCAGTATGGTTGCCAAAATAGAAAATTCCAAATAGACAGGTGTTTTAAACACTGTTACGACAAAGGCGAATCGTCTCCCGGATATGTGTGATACGAATGAGCAGTTGTAAGCTTTAACAATGTTTGCAGAGGGTGGAACAGATATGTGATGCGCAACGGTGGTTGTTCCATCGATTATGTTTGACAAAGCAATAATAAATGTTACACATTTTACGGTCCTTACATTACGAAATGTGTATCTGCCGGAATATGAGATAAATCCAACTTGAAAGAAAATGTACGGTACAACTGTGAGCGTTTCGACAAGAACAATTGTGTCCTTTTCTTCAGGCATTTTTTCCAAACAATACGTCAGCAAAAGACATTGCGTTATAGACGTAACACACCTCAGAATACAAAATACACACAGAAAGCCTAACCTAATCTTTCGAACAAGTGAGTGGTTTGTATTTTGAATCCAGTCTTTCCTTCCAAGTTTTATACGAATAACCATGTACGCCATTGCTGTCAATCCCAGAATTCTTGCTGACACGTTGATTCCGGTGATTATCTGGGAGCCTAAGATCATCGTCGTCGGCAATGACTGATACATAAACATAGGTACCACGATCATGCCTCCTATGGCAGACGCAGCCAATGAAAATCCGACTTCTTCATAACCTGAGGTGCTTTCGGATGGAATTCTTGCCATGAATTCGATGAACTAGTGTCACCTATAATAAAGTTATTGGAGCTTAAAATTTCATGACAAATACTGAGGAAAAGAAACATGCGCACTAACTCGAAATAGCGAAATTTTGTTCAAATAAACAAGGCATTGATGATAATAAAGTGCATTGTGCGTGTTACCGGGAAAAAGAAGAAAACGTATTTTAGATAAACCTTATGTCTTAATCTTACAGAAGTTGACAATATAAGGTTGCAGTTAGAATTTTTGTTAGAATAACTAAAGCAGTGTTTTGAAGAGAGTGAAACGCATTTTTTAATTTTTAAAAAGTAATTGCGATATATCTGATATATAAAAATCTACAAGTATTTCTTTTATAAACTTTACAACATAACACTTACATTTCAATCTTTTTTTTTTGGGGGGGGGGGGGTTATTTCAATGAGCAAAAAAAAAATTATTTGCATATACTTTTAACTAATCTACCCAGAAAAGAACTGCTACGTACTCACTATTTCTACTTGCAATCTATGGCATAGAACACATACCAGGTATATTTCTTTCTCACTGCGATATTTAAAAAAATTATTAAAAATCGAAAATAAAAATCTACTTGCCTTTTAATTGCTGTCCTGAAACAGGAAACTTTAATGGCAGCTAGACCCTTAGAATTCTGAGGTAAGAATGTGATAAGGAAATATTGCAATTTTTAAACAAAAAAACGAGATTAGTCAGCACTGAATATAAGCAGCGGATATACTAAAACAATATACAGTATGCTTAAAAAAAATGTCAGCTTGTTTTTGTAAGTTAATGATTTAATCTGTCGAATTATTAAGGAAGTGTTTAGATACGCGCACTGACTTGCACTACCTGTGGCTTGCACTGTGACGATAGCTAATATTTTAGCTCACCTGAACCAAGGACTCAAATGAGTTATTTCTGCTCAAAAAGTGCTCAACATTTGCCTTGGTTCGTCTACCTAGTTAGTCATTTGTCGAGTGCCACTATAATTTTTTCTTGTTTTCAACTTCTTCTCAGAATTACAGGGTTAATTTCAGTTAAACTTACTACAAAACATTCATGATTAAAGGAAATTCAAGTTGTTAAAATGAAGAAATACATACCTTTTCAAGGGAAGATAATTAAGCTTCTATGCGATTTTATATACATAATTTGGTTTTCCATTTATTATCACATTTCAAATTAACAGATTAAAATTTAACATCAATCAAACAATTTACTTTTCAGTTATAGACAGTAAATCATTCGAACATAAAACAGATGTGGCAGACTCTGGTGTATATCGAGTAGACATATGAGTAGAAGTAATTGATAAAATGATGTCTATATTTCTGAATCATTGAAAGTCGTAACAAGTGGTTTTTTTTCTCTTGTTGATTTTTTTTAAATAAATCCTTCTTCGTATGAATATACACACATATCGGTTTGTAAAGGAGCACATCGGGTGCACCTGGGAATTCCAATATTGTTAGAAGA